TATCCCTTATCTGATTGGCTCTAAAGTTATCTAAGTTTCGAGCTCTTGTTGATTCTGGTTGTCGCATTTCGGTCTGTACCTCTGTTACTGCATGTTCCCACACAGATAAAAATTTTTCGTTTCGCGTTTCGACTATATTATGTAAAATGCAGACAGCTGATATTATATGTGGTACGTAAGTATAATGTATGTCAATTCGTTTAAGTACTCGTCGCCAGCGAGCTTTCAGTCTTCCAAAAGCTATTTCAACACATACGCGGGCAGAATTTAGATATACATTGAAGGATTCTTCCTCGGGAGTGAGACGAACACTTTTAGTGTATCCTTTATGAGCCATTCCAGTAACGGATAAGCAGGATCTCCTATTATAAGGTAAGGCCCTGCTACATTTAATACCGTTTTCGTTTCCTGAAATATAAGTTTCACGTAAACTTTATGAAATTATAATATCAACTTTAGTAAAGAATATAAAATATATTTTACTTTGGGAATTAATAAATTACAGTTCCTGTACAATTTTGAAGTCTGAAAAACCGCAGCATCATGACATGATCCTGGTGAACCACAATGAATATTACGAAACCTGAAAAATAATAACATTAATCAATTATTTTATTAAAGACAAAAATATAATTGAATAAATTGTATATATACTTATACGTACCTATAGTTGTTATCTACAACCGCTTGCAATATCATAGAGGGCCGTCTTTTTCGATTGATATAATCTCTATATCCATCGCTAGAAGGAAGAATAGGAATATGCGTTCCATCAATTGCTCCAATTAATTGTGGAATATGTGTTTTTTTCTCAAAAGCCTCAGCAATTTCATGGCACTCATCATTGTCAGGCATGCTTATCCACGAGCTCATTAATTCTATATTAATTGCATCAATTACTTTATGAATACACTTCCACACAGTTGCCTTATGAATCCCAAAAGTAGTTCCGACTATACGATATTCACAGCAGCTAGATAAGAAATACAGACAAACAGCGACCTGCTTTTCAACCGATACTGGTTCTCGAGTTCCTATCTGGTTTACATTTGGAACAAGTCTTTCTCGTAATTGATCACATAACCAGAGAAAAGTTACTTTCGTCATCCGAAATGTTTCTATCCAGTCTTCATCCTTAAAATGACCATTAACGATTCGATGCCACCAGTCAAAACTTCGTTCTTTCATCCATATTTCTCTTTCTCGTGAAAATTTTAATATAGGTCCGAGATCAAGCAAATGATTTGGTGGCGTTGAATTTAACAAGTGTTGTAATATAATTTCTTTCAGACGTCTTCGCCGTTTCATCAGATTATTTCGGACATGTGATGTACATTGCACGAACATGTTTTCTATAGTTGTCAAATATACGGCAACAAACGGATGAATGCTTTCCATCCTCTCCCTGATTATTTCCAAAATTGATAACAATCTTAAATTTATGCGTAATAATATTTTTCGTATAAATTTATATATATTTTAATAATACTTTAGGAAAAGGACTTGAAGAACTAAAGGCTTGCGAATCAAGATTAGATGGTGAAAATTAATACTTACTTAACTTTATTGGAAATATGTGTAATAAAGACGAATAAACGATTTGCTTAAATGTATTAAACTTAAATATATTAAACTTAAATGTATTAAACGATATATAACGAAATAAAACACGATACCGGCTCACTAACGATATCAGCGATATTCTAACAATAAGTATTTTGCAAGTACTCCCGTTTAAATTAGTAATTCTTTTGCACGTAACTAGCTCGCAGGACCGACCGGCGCGTGTCCCTTCTCGAAGGCGAGTGTCTTTTCAAAACGGTCACGCTCCGGCCGTTTCTTTGTCTTTCCATTCTGTTGTTACACGATTTGCCCTTGTCTTTTCGCGCACCCGTGTTTTAGAATTTTCGCCTCGCGCGGCTCGCTAGCACGCGGCCCGTTAGCGCGCAGGCGCCTGGGATCTTACCTTCAGCCCACAATCCTACCACTAGTAAGCATCTCATTTTTCGTACTTTTATATTGGTACTAATGGAAATCTTTGACTCACTTCACTCGAAAGTTATTAAGCTGTTTCAGCTTGATGGGAATAAGATAAGCCTAAACGTGTAAACGCAACTCACTTTAAGTAGGAGTTATAACATCGGCGTTACTAAATCGATGTTAGAAGCCGTGTAAACGTAGTCACTGGCCGAGCGTCGAGCAGCGAACGACGCGAGGCGGGGGGCGAGCGGTGAGGGGCGGGCGGGGAGTGTATACTGAAGCTCGCTGCTCGCTGCTCGTTGAGTGACTTTTTTTCGGCGCGTCGCTCCACCTCTCGCTATTAGATGATGCCCCACCGTTGCCTGCCGAGTCCGGCCTGCCGCCTTCTACGCTCTCATTCGCTCAGACATTAAAATTAATTTCTTGATGACTATTGCGAATTTTGCAAAATGGTATAGGACTTTTCTATTCAGTTTACCCCGGTCTATCTGCCATTTACGGGTGATACGGGTATTAGGACACACCCTATAAAATATTGTCATATGATACGGTGTTGGAAGCAGATGCAAACCTTTAAAGGACCCAGTTGACCAATCATTTACTTCGATTCATTCATATGGAGAAAAGACCCATAATTATAATATGAAGTAGGCTGATATAAGATAACGAGGTTTTGCTAAACTAATAGGCGCCATCAGTTGATTCCACTATGCATTCATTGCTCTTGTAACAAAATCTATTTAGTAGAAAATTTATTGTTAGATCATACATGTAGTCGTGACAAAAATATTTTTTTAATTGAACGTTGTCATGTACCACTGAAGTGAGTCTTTAATATCAATTATATAATAAATAAATATTTAACAATAAATTCTTCATACAGTGATAGAGACAGATTTTATTAATAGAAAAATACGTAATATGGTGAATTGTTTAATTGTAGATGTTAGATTTAGTGATTGCGAAACCACAATGCGTACAG